AGCCTGTTTTAAAAAAATAAGACAACAAAAGTTTATCCAAACAGAATATACAATCAACAACACTAGTAATTCTATAAATATTCTTAAATTCAATGTATATCCAAATAAGGCCAAGCTTTTAAATTGGAGCTTGAGACATTTTTTATTAAACGAGCTTTTGTACAAGTTCAAGTCTGGTTCTAACAATAAATTTTAGACATGTAAACTCAGGTCTTCACGAGCTGAGTCAAATGCCCCTAGTTCGTTTACCACCCTTATCGCTGAGTGTTACGAGTCAACACGATACAATAAGAAAAAAATAGAAATTTATTTTTGCAAAAAGCTAAAAAAATAACAAAAAATATGAATAGACAAGTAAACTCTCCAATTCCTCTAAAATGGATAAGCACTAAAAATTGAAAAAAAAAACAATATTCAACAATGTCACCAAAATATCAAGTTACTTAGCATATATTGTCAATAATCTCATAATTAATTCTAACTTACAGCCTAATAATCATAGCTAATGAGTACCTAGTTATATACACTAATACACGTGCCTAATCAATTCAAACATTTTACTTAGTTCAAAGAATTGATAACACAGATGTCCCAAAAATTATTTTTTTACAAAAATCTGTTCATAGCTTACATACGGCGACAACAGGTTTTAATAGCAGTATACATTTGCAAGCCATATTTGCTTACGATTTAAATTCAACTCAACAAAGTAGGAAATAAATTTGAGGGTTGAAAGAATCACATTTGGAAGGGGTAAGAAATATAGTAATTCTAAATCACGTCCAGAATTTTGAATTAATCTTATAGACAACTTAAAAAGTAAAATTTATGGGGACATTAAAGGATCTGATTTGTTTTAAAGAGATAATTAGAGTCCTTATAAAAATAAAAACAAATGTTATCAAAAATAAAAAAAAATAAAAAAATAAAAAAAAATCTGTCAGTATCTTGTTGCTTTTCTCATTTAATGGATGCAGATAAATTTATGCCATGCTGGTATTTCGACTTGTGTCCTCATATATATCAGAAGTGAAAATAATCTCGATTACAAAAAAGAAATTATGACAACAAAAATATATAAATAAAAGCGAGAGATAAATTGCTTAGCAAAAAAAAAAAAAAAAAAGTCAGAGTAGACAAGAGAAGAGGGAGAACACTGATCAAAATGCCACTCTTCACCAATTTTTTTATCTAAATGCCACATGAACAGTGTTATTTTTCAATCTGCCACGGAGGCAAGTTCGCTACCCGGTGTAGCGAACTCGATTCGCTGACGTGTCACATTTCTAGTGAATAACAAGTACTAAGTTAAAAAAAAAGATGTGAAGTTTGCTACATTAGGTAGTGAACTTGGTGTCCACTAGAAACGTGACACATCAGCAAACCGAGTTCGCTACACCGGGTAGCGAACTTGCCTCCGTGACAGATTGAGAAATAACAATGTTCGCGTGATATTTAGGTAAAAAAGTTGGTGAATAGTGACATTTTGGTCACTGTTCAGAGATAAGAGAGACAGCATGAGGAGGGAGGCACACAATTGAAAACCTAACTCTAGTTAAAAAAAAGGAGAAAAATATGTATCATTCTAAAGTATGTAAATTTGTGTCAATTCTGAGTAACAGAAAGAGATAGATTGTAGGAGAAATAGAGTGAACAAAAAAAATAAAAATAAAATATGAGTTACAGAGTTCTTTGTGAAAATAAATGACACAAATTGTGCCATTTAAAATAACAAACATTTTTTTCTTAAAAAATTTCGTTTTATAATACTCATGTGAAATTACTTATAAGCCCTCAATAAATACGCAAGTTGGCACACATATGCGTCAAAAAAAAAAAAATTGTCATTTTTTTAAAACCATACACAACAACTAATTGCATTTTAACATATCGTGTGCGGGTTAATTCGCGGATCATTAACCATTTTGTCACCTCTATGGTACTACGACCTACATATTCTTCTACTTCAAAATATGAAATTTCATTTTCTAAAATTGGAAAGACAAACTATTTGATCTGAACATAGTAAATGAAGCTTTGAACCCCTGGGAAGACAGACTAGTGATTCTTCCCACAATATGTCGCATTCATATTCATAAAAAGAAATCCAACTGTGTACTAAAAAAATAAAAAAAATTCCAACTTATATGTTGGTCAAAACAAGTTTAATACGTTAATTTAAGAAAAATATTTTTCTTATGTTATTGGAGATGTGTTATCTTATGTTAGTGAAACAAAATTATAAGAGAGAATCATAAATGATTGGAAAGAGAAAAATAGAGGTGAGATTCATCTTTGTTAAGTGTGTGTAGAAAAATAAGTTATCTCATGTTGAATGAGATAAATATAATCCTTAATTTAATCAACAGCCGCCCCTGACTCTACCGTGTCCATTTGTGCAAGCACTTCCGTTAACCACGAGGACGAGGGCAAAAGCCCAATATGCCGACGGGCTAAGACCTAAAAGGAAGACAACCAGGCCCAAGTACCTTGATGCATACCTGGCTTGAAGACGGACCCAGTTCCTATGAATCCTATTACTCAGAATAGTAATATTTCCTTATTAAGTCTTTTTGTTATTTTCTTTTATTTGGGATCATGTAATTTTATTTGTTGCAACAAACTCTGGTCTATGTATAGTGGTTTGAGTGACGATGAAAGCATGAATTTTTTTTTACATCTCTTTGTGTAATATTCCGGGCGTTGATGAGTGTGGGAAGTGATTGTCGGTACATAAATGAGGCATGGACAAGAAGCGGTCCCTGGCAAGCTTCCAGCGGGAGAATACATAAATGAATCGAATCAACATTCGAATAAGAGAGATCTAGAGGCTGTGCAGATATAGAAATGTATAGTTGATGATAGCTTAAAGGAATCAATAAGTATTACTTGTACTAATAAGGTACATCTACTTTTCGATAACCTATAATTTAAGAACTTCATAATTAAGCATATGGTGGGAAATAGAATTAGTAGGAATATGGTGGGAAAATGATTTTGTTGGTAGGAAAATTTAAAAAAAAATTGTTTGGTATGCCAAAATATTACCAAAAAAATTGGGTTAAATTTTTTGAATGTATGTTTAGTTGAAAGTAGAATATTAATGGAAAAATTGATTAAAAATACTAAAACACCTACTTGTTTTTTTCTTTTTCTTTTTTTACTTTTTGAAAGTGAGTTACCGTTGTGTAAAGGGTTGCATGTTTCTACCAACGTCAAATAAACAAGTTTTCATATCTCTGTAGTTCTCTCCGTCTCTCCTTTCGTTGCTCGGCAATAATCACTTAAGCACGACGACGATTTGGTTTGGACACTCAATCAACAGCCACAATGAAGGTTGGACATTACAGTGGTGTTCTTCATTTGGAGCGGTGTCGGTGACATTAGGGTTTGACTTGGAAGCTGGCACCATAAGAAACCATCAGGCATGTTAATCCAAACTTTTGTACATCCAAATCATCTTGTTTGGTTTGAGGTATTGATTCCCCACTTTTTCGTTTTAAGTTATGGTTCTGACTGTTGTGGGTGTGAAACTAATTTTTTGGGAGACAAATATCGTTAATAGGAAAATTTGATGGAACACCCAGAACAATTTGTTTAAAAAAAATAAATGCAGAGCAAGAAATTTGTTCAGAGATCTGTGGGCTACAGAATGTCATTGAGGCAGCCGAGACTACTAATAACATCCAGACAAAAACCAAACTAATGGAAGAAAAGACTCGAGCTTTGTATTTCATACAAGAAATGGGTTGGCGCCTTCATAGAAATCGTATGAAAGTTATACTAGTTCCCATGTCACCTGTCCAAGATTGCTTCCAGTTTAATCAGTTCACATGGCTTGTTGGCTTCTCCATGGACCATGATTGGTGTGCTGTGATAAAGAAACTCTTGGACATTATCTTTGCGGGTGTTGTTGATACAGGAGAGTATACCTCTGTTGAGCATGCATTGTGAGACATGGGTCTTCTACATATAGCAATAAAGAGAAATTGCAAGCCTATGGTGGAACTACTGTTGAATTTGTGCCAGTTAAAGCTTCAGATGGTGGAGACAGTGAAGAGAAGCAAGCTAACATGAGGGTACTTTTGTCTGATGTTGGTTGCCCTACTTGCCATTTACCCAGTGAAATACGAAATACCACCTCCATATATGTTGTCTTTCTCAACAGTGACAACACTTCATTTTTTAGGTGTATTTCTGAAACGCTATGCAAATATGAAAGCTGGGGAAATTTTTGGTTTCTCTCTACCAAATGAGGACAAGGTACTTTCCCAAAGTCAGATGCATGGACATATATTTAAAAACTCTGAACCAAACGCCCCCAAAAGGAAAAGCTAATGAGAAAAGGTGAGTTCTGGAAGAGTAATATGGGATCCAGTTACAAAAAAATAGCTAATGAGAAAAAGTGAGTTCTGGAAGAGTGATAGGGGATCCAGCTACAAAAAAAAAAACTTGTTTTAATAAATAATGGTAGTTCACTTGTTAGCGCACGAGAGCTGGAGAGATAGAGTGAAAGTGAGAATATGTGTTTGATTCTTTTCAGTATCATTTTAGAAAGAGTTTAAAGTTGTAATATTAGATCCGCCCCGAACAAGATTGATTATGTGATTTATCCAAAAAATAAAATAAAATTGTTTTATATAATAATTAAGGGGTTTGCATTTATCATGTAACGTGACACCAAAATTTTTTCAACACATACAACATTTTGTGGGGCCTGCATTTATGAAAAAAAAAAACTAAGACACGGAAAACGAATCTCTATATCATGACATAATTACTTTTCCTACCACATAACTCTTATAAAACCCAATAATTAATTAGAAAACTATAACTATGAACTCCACGTCACGCTGGTATATATAAAAAGCAGTTTCCTTGGTTTTGCACAAAAGGCAATCATACGCGTGAGAACGAAGAAAATAGGAATGATCAAAGAAAAAGCCTCAGAGAAAAGAATGAAAAAGCAACTACTAAACCATAGTTACCCTTAAGTAACGATGCCTTCTTTGCTGCAACAAGCACCAATGGCGAACCTCAAAACCCACTGTGTCTCTTTCCTGATTCTACTATCACTCCAACACTTCTTCCCTCTCCACGTTACCTCCCACAATCCCTCACCAACACCTACATCAACCAAAGAGCCATTCAAAACATCAAAGAAAAACACAACAATTCCCATTATAGCTTCCGTCGCAGCTACAACATCCTTCGTTGCATTATTCATCATCGGATTCTTAATCTTCCGGTGTCGAAGAAGAGCTTCGTCAAGAGACAGAAACCCGCCAGAACACTCAAACACGTGTCGCCACTTTTCTATCGCTGAGATAAGAGCTGCCACCAACAACTTTAACGACGGTTTAATCGTAGGCAATGGAGGATTCGGGAACGTGTACAAAGGACACATTGACAAGTGTCACAAACCGGTTGCTATAAAACGGCTCAAACCGGGTTCAGATCAAGGTGCACACGAGTTCCAAACCGAGATAAGGATGCTCTCGCATTTTCGCCACCCTCACTTGGTCTCTCTCATAGGTTATTGCAACGACGGCGCAGAAATGATCATCGTCTACGACTTCATGGCGCGTGGGACCCTCCGCGACCACCTCTATGGCTCAGGCAACCGCCATCACCACCCACTATCGTGGAACCAGCGACTCGATATCTGCCTCGCGGCGGCGCGTGGGCTTAACTTTCTCCACGCCGGAGTGAACAAGCAGAGCGTGATCCACCGGGACGTGAAGAGCACCAACATCCTGTTGGACGAGGATTGGGTCGCTAAGGTTTCGGATTTCGGGTTGTCTAAGGTTGGGCCCAACATGTCCCACGTGACAACTGACGTGAAGGGTAGTTTCGGGTATTTGGACCCTGAGTACTACATGAGTCTTTGGTTGACTCAGAAATCTGACGTGTACTCTTTCGGTGTGGTTTTGCTTGAGGTATTGTGTGGGAGGCCACCCATCAAAACTAGGGTGGACAAGCACCTGGAATACTTGGTGGCATGGTTTATCAAGTGTTGTAGTGAAGGGAAAGTTGATCAGACGGTGGATCCAGCTTTGAGGGGAACCATCAGGCCCAAGTGTTTGAAGAAATTTGTTGAGATTGCATTGAGTTGTTTGCATGATCATGGGAAGGAACGGCCTTTGATGAGAGATGTGGTTAAGGGGTTAGAGCATGCATTGAATCTTCAACATTGTTGGGGCCAAAGTGGGGCCCTTGTTCAAGGAAAGGGAAAAAGTGAGGAGATAGCTATGAGCTTGACCAAAGTTGTGGGTCATGAGGATTTTGATGAGAAACTTGGGAGGGTACTGAATGAGTCTACAAGTGGCAAGGCTAAAACAACATGCGTTGAGGAAGAGCAAGCTTTGGTGCATGGGGTGTTGTTACAAGAGAACGGTAATGATCCTCAATCATAGCTTGTAATAGTAATTGAAAAACCTTTGTACTAAAAACACGTATATATGTCAAAGTCACTAAAAAGAAGATTAGACTAGTTAGGCGCGTTTTCCTCGGTTATGGTAAAATATCATAAAAGCTGTAAGTATCTTTATTTCTGCGTATTAAAAATGTTATGAATAGCTTGTAATAATAATTAAAAAAAAACTAGTGCTAAGAGAAAGTATATCAAAGTCGCAGATTTTTTTATTTTATTTTTAAGTATGTGCGTCACCTTTCCTTGGTAATTAACTTTAGGAAAAAAAAAATAAAAATTCCAAGACTGTTGTTGTGTGTTTAATTAAATGATGAAGAATCCTAAAAAGTTGAAAGTGGGGCAATGGTATGTTGATTTTTGTGTACTAAAAATGTTGTGTATAGGATCATGATAAGGCCAAGAAAAGATTACAGCTTTTTCTTTCTTTTGTCGTGGAACATCTTTTCATCTTGCTTCAAAGCGATGAAGAGATGGAACGAAAAGAAAAGAGTTATCTAGCTGGTGTAGGGTAATCAGAGAGGGGGAAAATGATCAAAGTAATAAATTGTATAGGCAAAATATTTTATCCATATATAGAAAGAAACAAAGCATCTCAGATTGGACAATATTTTGCTGCAGCAATGAAAAAACATTTTAGTTTTGAGGTAGAGGAGCGTAATGATAATTTCTCTTTTACGATAATTATAGTTCACAACATGCATGCAAATTGTAATTATATATGGTTAAAATTAAAAGTTACTTAAAGCTCACACAATTATATGACTTTTTGTTTCAATATTAATCATACATATATGATAAAATACTTCTCACTTAATATGATGGTGATCGACATGAAGGACACTACCCTCTGTTAACAACCAAAGGAAGTCCCACATAATAATACACCGAAACAGTTCTTGAATAACAAAAAAGGAAAATGATTTGATGAAAATAAAAAATAAAAAATTAAAGAATAATAGAAAGATTACAGTTTCTTCAAAACTTCAGCCATCAAGCTAGTGTTATTTTTTTGAAATTCAATTAACTCTTCAAGTGTAATAAAGCCATCACCGTCTTTATCAATCTCTGCCATTCGAAGCTGAACTTCCTCCTGCGAAGTTAAGCCTAGCACTTTGAGAGCATCTGCAAGCTCAGACAACGAGATCTTGCCATCGCCATTCACATCAAAGCGCCTGAAAACACGCTCGCATTCAGCTCTATTAGCCATAGTACCTTTAAATTTCTTAATGATCTCTGAAGAAATTGAATGTGAATTAAGGATATTGAATGAGTGAGATGTTTAAGATGTCGAAAACAAAAGGTGGCCCCTAGAGACTCGGTCTTTGTTGCTTGATAATCGGATCACCTATGGAGTTCACGAGCATCTAAGCCAAATTTTATACATGCAAAAATAAAAAAGGTATATTATAAAAAGTATGTTGAAATATGTATTTTTCTTATTTTATTTTCCTGACAAAAGTGGTGTAAAAATAGTAAATTTTTTTTTATGTATTTATATTATTTTTGGGTTATATATTAATTTGTTAATTCGTTAAGATATATGGCCTTTACAATTTTATATATTATGAGGGATCTTTTGATTCTGATTTAAAACTAAGAATTCTTATTTTTTATTTCAGCTGTTGATTTTTATTCATTTAATGATTATAGTTTATTAAATTATATTAATTAATTATTTATTAATTCTAAATAAATTACAATTATTACATGAACGGAAATCAATGACTCAAATAAGGAATAAAAGTTCTTAGTGTTTTATGGGAGTTAAAAAATTTCCCCTCTTTATATATAAAACATGGTTGTAGCCACACAAAATAATATTTCCCTTTTTTATATAGTCATATAAAACTAAAATTGGCTAATTATTCAGAGCTGTGTGAAAGCAAGTTCAGGTATCTCGGGTAATAATTAGCTATAGAAAGCCAAAGAAAGATTGATACAAGAAATCAAAAATGGTCACACAAATACCTGCCAGACAAATTGACAAAACTTTAGCATGAATGCTCGTCAACTTTATTTGGTGGATTCTTTTTCCGATTAGAATCAAACATTAATTCGTGTTAACATTAAAGTTGAAGCAAAAAGGTGTGTCGGATCCACCAATTCTTTCTTTTCTTTTCTTTTTGATTTTTAATCTCAATGTTGGGAGAAAATGAGCAGAAAAAAAAAAAGCACAGGTGCTACAATTTCAAAATTACCCTCACTTAAAAAATATACACTTCATTTAAACTTTTATACATGTGGATTAAATCCCTATACACAATCTTGCAATATGCATATATTTTATTTTAAACTTAGAGTAATTTTTTCTTCTTAAATATGGATCATAAAGAAAAAAAGTACAAAATACGTACATTATCGGGCCACCATTTTCAGATGTAAATTCTTAATCTTCTGGGTTATAACGAATTTAAAGGGAAAACTTTTTTAATACGAGCTGTAAGAAAATAAATGCGTTTTCCTTATACACGAATTGGAATTTCTGCACAAAACAATAAGCTATTGCATTGCGCGTTCGTACTAAAAAAATAAAAATCCATACCAGATCCACTAGATGTTCAACTAAAATTGAAAGCAATTGTTACAAATAAAATAAAATTGAAAGCAATGTGCGGGAATTGTCTTAGCTTCAATTTTTTTCCTCCTCCAGTTGACTTTGTTTATGCAGAAGTAATAAAAAAAAAAGTTCTAATATTCATTGATAGATAATTTCTTAATACAATTAATGTGTATCACAACACATAATCTTCTTGTACCAACATTCGAAGAATTGAATATGAATTAAGAACCTTGACGGGTTAAAATAGCCAATAACAAGGTCATGTACTCGCTGGCATTGGCACCCTCTGCCATTGTCTAGAAAATAAGATAGAAGCGTGAGGCAACAAGAAAAGCAAATGAATAATAAAATAATAAAAGGAAATAAGAATGGAAGAAAGAATTATGAAAGCAAGATTATGTGATTCCGGGGAGATCTTGTTGGATGCTTCCTTCACAATTTGAGAATCGCGAAATGATGTCATCACCATTGTTCTTGACATGCGGTGTGGGCCTTTGTATGACCACCTCCGTTACAGAAAAAATCGTCCCTATCATTAAATATTCTCCTAATACTTCTATACGACTGTCTCCCACTATTGCTCATATACATTACCCCGACACTCACAAGAACCACCAATAACTATTTTTGCATCACCACAAATGTTCTACAAAGACTATAACATTACACAACTGTCTATATATGCAAAATTGATGCCCTTGAGGTGTGGACTCTCTACTTCGGCATTACTCCATCTCTAACAAACACTAACTTGTGCCTCGAAGATCTTGCAGGTGAACATCATCACCTAATTTCCCATCATAATACACGGTGGAGCATCCACCTAAGCACCTAAGACCGAACACAAGGGAGGTCATGTTCCACAATATTCGGCCACTTGTTTGGTTCTTTAGTATTTTTTTTAATAATGATGCATGTCCACGTAAAGCAATCTGAAGCCATGGAGAGAAACATCTTTATCTACGTCACAGTCACTCTTCTACGTACCAAATCAAACCCAAATTGGTAAATATGTACAAAATTAACCCCATCTACATACACTTTATAAAGTTATACCTATACAGTCAAAAACCCATATTCATATGCTTCAACCGCCTTAGAGGTTGGGAGAAGATTGAACCAAGCAAGCAACTCCACTTGTGCTGACAACTTACAGCACTGCTTGGTTAAAATTGTAAGCGCCCATCAAGTCAGACTGAGCCCAGTTTGCCCCACTGAAATTTCATCACTGCTCAACTGACACGCCCATCCTGCAAGAATAGAAAATTCAACTTGCTGAAAATTTTGACCATTTGAACTTGCTACCATCTTCTCAATATGCTGCTGCCCACCATGCATTTAATTTTTCCTGCTTCAATGTGTGTTTTTTATTTTATTCAAGCAATTCACCTAAGAGGACGAGCTTCGTAAAATTGTTCTTTTGTGATTGAAAGGTCATGGGTTCGAATTCGGGAAACAATCTCTTTGCAATTATGCAAGGTAAGGCTACATATAAGGGTTGTCTTCATCCCACCCTCGCTAGTTCGGGTTTAATGGGGAGTGGGGTTCATTTTTCAAGCAATTCGCCTATAAAAAGTACCTCTTGAATTCTGTCTTTCAACTGTGAAATGACAAAGAATTAGAACATTTTCTCTTCCCTGTGTTGTGTGACTAATTATAAATTTATTATATATGTCAAACGTCCCTCAAACTATTCTTAATCATCAATGAAGTATCAAATATGTGGTTATCCCCGCAAGGAGAAGTCAGGGACGAGAATGAAAAGTGTTGGGGCAAGAGATTGGGAGTGCATACAAGAGAGAATTAAGAGAAGCCGTCAGGTTAGTTAGGGAAGTTAGAAAGACGGTTAGTTAATTAGGATGGCAATTAGGTAATTAGGTATAGCAGATAGGCATTTGAGAATTTAGAAGTTAAAATTCTGAAAGAGGTAACTCTTTGTGAAGGGGAAACCCTTGGGTGACTTCTCTCCTTAGTTCTGTATGTGTTTCAGCCTTCAATAAGAATTGTCCCTTTTTCTTTCTATCTTCTATACATTTATCGGTTCTTATTTGCTGGTTCGTAACATTTTCCTTCAACTTTCTTTCATTAATTGCAATTGAACTTTTCGTTATGAATGCAGTGAGACAAAAGCTACAAGAAACTTCGCATATGTATAATAGTTTTTTCTTAGTAGGACTATGAACTCTGCATAGCCCTATGTAATATATTTTTCAATCAAGAAATAGAACAAGATGGGTTTAAATAGCATGTGGTATACAAGCAATCTTTTAGATAAAAGAGGCAGAAAGTGTACTCACCTAGTCATCTCAACAGTTTCCAAATGTTATTCAAGCATCATATCACAGGTAGTTTAAGTGGAATACCAGCTAGCCTCCTTAACTGCATCTCCTGCGAAGACCATACAAATAAAACAACAAACTAAATTTGCGAATCCCACACATCTCCTTGTATGTAAGAGAATTTTGAAAACTAAAACTTTCAAATTCACGGATCACCTATCAGTCTATCACTAGAAAGGTTGTCATGACATATGTTAAACTTGATTTAACTCAAGACAGGTCAAAATGCAAACCAAAGCATGAAACCAAAATACATAAGCAACAGTAAGAACAAGACTCACCATTACTAGGAAAAACCAGTTTTCTTTCTCAGCATCATTTGCCATTAGAAACAGGCCTCAAACATGTTTATAATCATTACTCATTAGTATATGCTACCATATATCTCCACAAGTACAATTACCATTCAGAAATCTGTGGTATCTGTTGACGTCCCTCACAATAATTTCCCTTTCTAAAACTCTTGTGATATACTTAAAAGCCTCGTGACAATCTTTACAAATCCTCAAATTCTTCACAATCCTCAATGGCTTCCCCGGTGGTGCAGATCCACATAACACTCCAAATGCAACAGCCAACTTCTCACTATGATACCAAAGAGCCTCCTTTCTCTTTTCTTCCCCAACATTATGCAACAACTCATCCCAAATAGGAGCATATCCTAATTTCTCAATATCCCCCATGAGCTCTGCCAACTTTTGGTAAATTTCCACTGACCTCTCATGCTTCCAATCTCCCGCCACAAAAACATGAACTTTTCCCTGCACTTCAATCCAACTCCTCCCGCCATTTTTCTTCACCCTCCTATCTTTCATCATCTTCCTCAATTCTGCAACATCATCCCACCTTCCAGCAGCTGATAACACATTTGCAACAATAACATAAGCGGAATCATCATGCGGCTCTAGTTCCAACACCCTCCTAGCCATAGCCCAAGCTTTGTCAGCTGCACCGTGATATGCACAGGATGATAGCAAAGCTCGCCAAACTGCTGCATCTGGCTCAAATGGCATTGTCAATGCTATCCTCTCTGCACGCTCAAATTGTCCAGCACGGGCCATTGCACCCACCAAACATGTGTAATGCTCTAGAGTTGGTTCCAAACCATAATCTACCTTAATCCTTGTCAACCACTGCTCAATTTGAAGAAACATCCCAGCATTATACAGTGATGTCAGGATTGCCAAAAAACTATACTTATCAGGCATTAGTCCACAAGCTTCCATTGAATCAAACAGTTCAACAGTAGATTGATGATCCGCGTGCTGTGCGTAACCAGCCATCATTGCATTCCAACCCACTAGATTCATATCCGACAAATTATCCTGAAAAACCTGTCTTGCATCGTTAACAATACCTGCTTTACAATACCCATCAACGAGAGCAGTACCCACCACCACATGCGAATCAAGCCCAGCAGCAACTGAATGTGCGTGTATCATTCTACACTGCTCCAATGCTGCAAGCTCCGCAGTAGCACGCAGACCCCCTGAAACGCTATGCACGGTAGACATAAAACCATGGCATCTCATGTCAGCAAAGACCATTAACGCATCTATACACCGCGAATTCTGAGCAAGACCCACGATCATGGCTGAATAACAAACATCGTCTCTGTGTGGAATTTCGTCGAACACTTTGCGTGCAAGGTGGGGCAAGCGGCATTTGGCGTACAAACTAAGGAGGGCAGAGGCCGTAAAAGGGTGGTGGGACAAGGCAAGCTTGAAGGAGAGAGAGTGGAGAGTGAGTCCAAAGGAGAGACAAGAAAGGGAGGCGCAGGTTCTGAAGAGGGATGCGAGGGTTCGATGGTTGGGGAGTGTGGGGTGGCGAAGCATAGAGAGGAAGTGTTGGAGTGAGAGAAGGGTGTCGGAGTGAGCGGAGATGAGTGCGGTCCATGAGACAACGTTGGGAGAAGTGATTCGGTGGAAGACCTCAAGAGCATATGATGAGAGGTTGGATTTGGAGTACTGTGTTATGAGGTTGTTGAACACTGCGCGGTCAGTTTCTGCCGATTTTATGGCTTGTGCGTGTATCCTCCGGGGATCGGAGTTGAGCGGAAGGTGCGGCAGCGCTGGTGCTGCTGTGTTGAGCCCCCCCTCCATGTTGGGGAATTAACCAGATGCCATCGCTATGCCTATAAAGCACAATTGTATGTATTTTTTTTTTAAAAAAAACACAATTGTATGTTAGTACAACTACAAATGATTACTCTAGAGAACATTGATCAAAATGCAGCAAACTTTTGACAAAAAAAAATTTATTGAAATGTCACGTGAATAGCATTTTTTTACTATAATGTCACGTAAACATAATTTGTTACGACCAGAAACAAATTATGATCGCCAATGATTTTATGACACGTGGTACACTTTCGTAAGAAAAAGCTGACGTGTCAGAATTCGCTATCAGTGAAAGCGAATTATGACACGTGGCAGTTTGATAAACATTTGGATAATTTTTTTGACAAAACTTGATATTTTGATCACTTTTCCTTATTCTAGTGTGTTTTATTTTTGAGAAAAGTTTAAAAACCCTTTTCTTATTGCTTTCAATCACTAATATATATATATATATATATATATATATATATATATATATATATATATATATGGGAAAAGTGTGTATAATTTTGAAGGATGTAAAGTTGTGTCATTTTAAGAGAGAGAAAGAGATAGATAAAGGAGGAGAGAGAGTTGACAAAAAAAATAAAGTTGTGGGTCCCACCTCTTTGTGAGAGTGAAAGGATGTAAGTTGTGTAATTTAAATGTATAGACACTTTTCCCTATATATATATACGAGTTTACTTTTTCTACTATTACTGTAGATAAGTTATCTGCAGTAAACCTCATACGACGTCAATTTTGGGCAGAAATCATAGTATTTTTGTAATTTTAATTTATTCCAAGTTATTATCGTCTTTATAATTATAATTTTTTAATCTTCCAATCCCAAAATGATGTCTTTTTGAGAGTAAATATAGATAACTTAACTGCAGTAACTGCAGAAATATTTTTCCACACATGGGTCCACTCTTTCTGCAGTTACTGCAGATAAGTTATCTGCAGTAAGCCAAATACGACGTCGTTTTGGGGCGGAAATCATGTTATTTTTATAATTTTAATTTATGTCAGGGTTATTATAATCTTTATAATTATAATTTTTTAAATTTCAATCCCAAAACGATGTTATTTTGGGAGTACATGCAGATAACTTATCTGCAGTAACTGCAGAAATATTTTTCTGTATATATATATATATATATATATATATATATATATATATATATATGGATTTAATGTTTCTCCAGTGAAAGTAGATAAGTTATCCACATTCATTCCAAAAACGACGTTGTTTTGGGTTAGAAAATTAAAAAATTATAATGAGAAAGACTACTACAACCATGAAATAAATTATAATTAGAAAAATACCCAAAACGACGTCGTTTTGAGCTCAATGTAGATAACTTATCTACATTGACTGTAGAAAAAATGAACCCTACATATATATATATATATATCTATATCTATATATATACAGAAAAATATTTCTGCAGTTACTACAGATAAGTTATCTACTCTCAAAACGACGTCGTTTTGGAATTCAAATATTAAAAAATAATTATAAAGACTATAATAACCCTAAAATAAATTAAAATTATAAAAACACCATGATTTTCGCCTCAAAATGACGTCGTATTGGGCTTATTGCAGATAACTTATCTGCAGTAACTGCAGAAAAAATGAACCTATATATATATATATGGGAAAAATATTTCTGCAGCTAATGCAGATAAGTTATCTGCAGTTATTCCCAAAATGACGTCGTTTTGGTATTGAAATCTTAAAAAATTATAAATATAAAGACTAAACCCTGAAATAAATTAAAATTACAAAAATATCATGATTTCCGCCCCAAAACGACGTCGTATTGGGCTTATTGCAGATAACTTATCTGCAGTAATAGCAGAAAAAGCGAACCCTATATATATAGGGGTTTACATTTCTACAGCTGCTGTATGTGCAGCAATCAAATACTAGCCGTATATATACTTGAAAACATTAAATGCGAAAAAGCATAACCATACAAAGGATGAAAGTATTAAATGTGATGAATCATAACCATACACTTGTCGTTGCTGTACGTAAAGCGGCTGGAGAAATAATTTTACCATATATATATGGGTAAAGGATTTTTCAAGTCAATGGAGATAAGTTATCTCCGGTCCAATGAATCCAAAATGACGTCGTTTTGGGACAGAAATCAAGGTATTTTTATAATTCTAATATGTTGCATGGTTATATTAGTCTTTATCATTATAGTTTTTTAATCTTATAACAAAAAACGATGTCGTTTTGAGCTTGCTGGAGATAACTTCACATACAGTGACCAGAGAAGTATTTTTCCCTATATATATATATATGGAAAAAAATTTCTCCAGTATCTTGAGATAAGTTTATCTTCGGCCACCCCAAAATTATGTTATTTTGTTTATTTATTTCCTTATAATAATTGATTCACATTTGAATGATTATGATTCCTTTTTTCTCTCTCTTCCTTTATTACCATTGATCCATCTTTGTACGGTTATGATTTGGTAGCCGGAGATGAAATTATATCCGGCAGCTTGAGAAATGATAAGCCTTATGTATATATATAAATAGGGCTTTACTTATCTCATGTTGCAGGAGAGAAGCTATCTTATGTTGTGAGATAAAATAAGTGGGCCCCACCAATTTTTAAAAAAAGAAAAGAAAAAAAGTGAGGCACATCTTTTTATGTGAGTGTAACATGAGAGATAAATATTATGTAATATAAGAGTATAATTTCCCATATATATATATATATGTGAGGTTTACATTTCTGCAGCTGCGGTACGTGCAGCAATCAAATACTTGACATATATATACTTAAAAGCTTTAAATGCGGGGAATCATAACCATACAAAGGATGAAAGCATTAAATGTGGGGAATCATAACCATACACCTGTCATTTTTGTACGTAAAGCGGCTGCAGAAATAATTTTATCTATATTATATATATATGTATATATATATTTAAATCACTTAATTTTTGTGGTTTTTTTTATCCACATCTGTTTAACATCGTTAGAACATTAATTAAATATATTTATTCTACTATTCTTAGAAGAAGAAAGTAAAATGATAAAAAAGAAAAATAATACAAAATATTTTAAAAAACAAAAAACACTTAATAAAATAATAAAAGAAAAAATAATAAAAAATAAAAATGTGTCTAAATAAAAAAAAATAGAATAAGAAAAAAATAGAAGAAAAAGAAATCATAGTTATGAATTTTCAATATATTTGTTTATATTTTTTTCTATTTTTTTTGTGCTTGGTCTATTTATTCTTTCTATTTAGATATGTTTGATTTTTTATATCTCTATTTTACTCTCTCTTTCTCTCTATCTCTTACAAAAATCTTTAGTAGATGGGGTGGCACAAGACTAAAAAAGATGGAAAAAAATAGACCAAAAAATGTAAATAAAAAAAGACTAAACATATCTAAATAAAAAAGAATAAAATAGACTAAAGACAAAAAAAGAAAAAGAAAACTAAATATATTGGAAACTCAGGCCCCCCCTGACATCAACCAGTTAAAAATGAGCCAGCTGTTACCTCCCTGTTTTTTAAAGTGGGCTAAAAAACTCGATCCGCCTCGCCAGCCCAAACATGTTTTATACCGTCCCACTTCGCCGACCCGAACATGTTTTACACTGACCCGCCCTACTCTTCCCTGTCATCAACCTGCAAAAAAACGAGCCAATTTGCCACGTCTCGCTTTTGAGAATGGGTTATAAAACTTAGCCCACCTATGTTGGCGGGCAGGACGGGTCGCCCCGCCTTGTCGAGCCCGTTTTGCCGGCTTTACTCATAACTGTGATTTCTTTTGTATCTTATTTTTTTTATCTTGATTTTTTCTTCTAGTTTTTGTCTTCATTATATATATTTTTCATTTGGACTATTTTTATTTTTTTTAATTTTATTTTATTTTGTAACTGTTGTAATTTTTAATATATTTGTTATTATTTTTCTTATATTTTTTTTGGATAAACCACATGTATCCTCCACGAGAGGCAATCCTATTCAAAGCAGATCCAGAATTAAATCTTTAAACCCTTCTCAAAGACGACACTATAGATGATTGAACACATGTTCTCATTCTCACCTGCTAAGTTCCTATGTGCCAATATAGCTAAATTTTTTTTTTATACATTTTTTTTATGGACACATTTTTTTTTTACTATTTTGATCTTTTAGTCTTTTGTTATTTATTTTTCTAGTAATTTTTTTTAGTCTTTTTATTAAATATTCGAAGTTTTCATAACATTTGATTTTATTTTTCTTTTTTCTAATCACTTTATTTTTTCCTAAAAAAGATAGAATATGTATACTTTGTTAATTTTCTAACAGAGTTAAGGAGGGGCGTGGATAAAAAAATCGCTGGGTTAAGTGATTAAAAAAAAAGCATGGTGATGTAAATGATTCAAAGGAGTACCATAGTGTTTTTGTTGTTGAACTTTTTCCTTTATTTTTTATTATTTATTATTCTTTTTCATTTAAATTCATATTTTATTCATTAAAATTTAGATTAATTTACTTATTTTGTGTCCATGAACGTTTTAAAAAAATCATGAAGAACATAAGTGATTTAAAAACACACACACAAAGATGTAAGGGATAAGAGAGTAAATCTTTTGGGTTTTTTTAGCCTTTCTCTTATAATAATTAAAAAGATAAAAAAAAATTATTCAATTTTGTGAGGAATGATTGGAAATAAAAAAGTTAATGAAATGTATATTCATTACAAATAACGGGGTTTAATGTCTCCTGAGAAATAAAATTTGGGATGAATATCATTATATTTTTGGGTACTCTAGCAATACATTTAAATTAGGTAAAAAAAATTAAGTTTATTTTTAAGTAAACTGTTTTTTTTTATTAGGTGCAATGTTTTATTGCAATCGTTTGTTGGTTTTAAATATCAACTTTTTTATACAATTTTTAAATCAAGAGCTGTTGGTGTAGTGACTTTCAGATTAGACTCCAAGATTTTTTTGTTTTTGTTTTTTTTGTTTTTGTAAATAGACTCCAAGATTTTACTGTTTAGTGGATTCGATTTATAAAAGTCACAATTAATGGAAAGGGTGGAGAGAGTCAAGTTGAAAACCGGATTATCAAAGAAAAATATCAATTTTTAATTCATTAAAAATAAATAGATAAAATTAAAATTAAAAACTAAATTATTATGATAATTAACGTATAAAGGTCTTAGATCATGCCATTTTTTCTTTACCATCAATCTATTATTATAAATAGGGGAATGATCTGTTTACAAACTTTTGTTTATAAATTACACTAAGTATGACCGATCATACACTCTTGATTGAAGTATGACCGGTCATATTTAGTGTAATTTGTAAGAGTTTGTAAATATAACATTCTCATTATAAATATAATATATTCAAATACAACAACAAACATAGAAGACACACGTAGCTGATGTTTAAAATATAGCTTGGTAAATTTTGTCAAATCCAAATTTTGGAAAATGCATATTATAGTAAACATTGAATTTCAAAACATCTCTGTTTTTATCTTTTTTATATGAAAATTTGTGAGTATCAAAGATGATTCCATCTTAACAAGACTTATTCATACTTACGTAACTTACAATTAAGACCAATAAGTATAGAGCTTGGTGCCTTTTTTTATTTTCAATTGATAATGCTTCTAAACGTGAATTTTAATTTTCTCATTAATCGTCAACATCATCAAATTCAATCGTGGCAAATGAAAGCAACAGAGATTATAGTGACTCGTTGGGAATTATAAAAGTTTAGAGCTAATGATCGATGCAAGAAGAAGAATTCAATAATTGAAACCCAATATTATAATTTTCTAGTAGATATTTATTGTTGATAGTATAAATATTATTTTAGACAAAAATTACCTTTATTATCTTGCATTTATCTGCTTATGCAAATCAATTTATTGTTTACTAATTAGAAGGTCATTTAGAATAAAATAGAATAGTTAAAAAAACCTACATGATGTATAATTTTATCACTTACCCTAATACTTTTATTTGTAATCAATTATCTCCCTGTGATTTTTTAACGGTTCATGAGAGCAAAATGAGTGAATTTATCCAATTTTTTATGATATTAGAGTTGGTCCTGGATTAAAAAAACCACTACGGAAGTAATTAATTAAAAAAAAAACAATGGCAAGTGATAGAGAAATAAATCATGAGAGATTTTTAGGGTTTATTGTTTTTTATGTTATTGATGATAAATTTATCTTCTATACACATTTTTAACTTTTCCTTTCATTTTATTTTTTTCTTTGATTTTTATATTCTTGTATCTTCACACCTTTAGTATTTAAATATTATGATGCCATGTAATTTTTATTTGAAATCGATATACACACAATACACAAATCGAAAACAGAAAAAAAAAGAAAGAGAAATTTGACACAGCAATTTTTTCTAATTCACCAAACGTAGGTTACATTCAGCTTGTTTGTACTATAAGTCACTCAATTTATAAAAGAATATAAATAAGATTTAAGAAATTCTAACAACAGTTATTTAGGGCAAGCCCAAACTACTAACAAAAAAATACAATGAGTCCGAGACCCACAATAGTAAGACTTGCCTTCCTGCTATCCTTGTCAATAAAGGTTATCATCTGAATACGAAGTATGAGTCATATCCAACAATTTTTTGTTTAAGGATGTTAGATTGACAACAATAGAGGAATTAAATACGAATACTCATATACACAACACTTGTTGAGTACAATATCTTTTTAATATACAAGAGCAAATTATAGTTACAAGTTCACCCCCTTAGCGTAGCAACCATTTTGGGGAATCGAAGAGAAAGAAAAGAAATAAGGGGAGATTTGGGGTTGATCGATTACAGAAAGGAAGAGAATTAAGGTGGAAGAAGAAGATTATAGATGAGAAAGAAAGCAGATCTATAATAAGGGGCAATAGAAGATGCAAAGAGATTCTTGTTAATTTTTCTTGTGTCCTTTCTTCATATATTATTTTCCCATTTATAACAAAGTTTATTGCAACAGAATCCTAAACAATAAAAACAGAAATGTAAATCAACACTAACATAAGAAGAAAGGCATTAATTAGAAATATAAAACAAGCTTAAGTACATAAATAGGCCATTCTGTGTTTCTACACACAGAATATCATCTTTCACTATGTAAAGATCCAGTATAAGAATTTCTGATGGATGAACAATATACAACACGCTGACACAAAGATTCTGATCAGATAGTAAACTTTTAGTCTTTTACCCCATCAAAAGTTTTAATCCTCATTTTCTCCAAGTGTGACTTCCCATTGAGGTTGCGGGAAAAAAAGTCTTTGAAGTAATCTTCCATTAGCATGCTTTTGAACAAGGGTGGGTTTTCAACACTTATTAAACTTTTCCCTGGCCCAATCTCTGCCTCAAATTTGGGGTTGAAGAACATAGCAATAGATATTCGCTCCTTTTCTCTGTTCACTGCAGCCCTGTGCTCTATGCTGGTATAGGCCCCATTACTTAGAATCTGCAAAATCACCGAAAGCATGAGTTACGAATAAGAATACATCATTTAAAGGAGTCTTGTCTCTATCTTTTTCTGCTCAATCTTTTTTTTTTTTAAGAAAAAAATATTTAGTATAAAATTTGGTTGATGTAATTAAGTACGATTTACTAATAACTAATGGATTTGAAAAGTAAAATAAGTTTCGGAAAAAGTAACGTAAAAACATTATCTGATTCTGACATGATGTTTAGGGAGAATTTCAAATACATGAACATCTAAATAATCATAACTACTAAGAAGCCTGCACATGATAGGAGTATTTTTAAGTATAATAAAATTTGGAAATATAAACTAAATGATATTATTATTATTAATTTAGATCAAATTTAAAAATAGAAATTAAAAGGAAAATATTTAAGAGAGAAATTGTTTAAATTAATTTACGCAGACTTTAAGAATATAATCAAATTAATTATTTAAAATTATAAAATAGATATGCATAATTAATTAAAAAAATGAATTTAATATTAAGTCACAATTAACAACTCATTTAAGAGAAAGTATACTAAAAAATTAAGTCATTTTAAAAATATATTCTAATTTAATATATATGAGTTTATGCATTAATAACAAATATCTACTTTGCTAATTAATTATTATGTGAAAATAATAGATACATTTTAGAAATTCTTCCAATTTTTTACTAGTGGAACTGAATATTTCACTAGTAATAAATAGAGTTCACAAAATATGTATTATTCGTCAGTCAACCCATTTAACTCATCTTAGGATTATATATCACGAATAAATCTATTTTTTTTCTTTGAATAATATAATTCTTGGAGTATAAAATATAAATTACTACTCAAATATTATATTACTCAAATATAAAGTCAGCAACAAACACAGGTAAATTTTAAAATGTCAAAATTGAGTTGGAGAATTATACTTTCAAAATTGATTATGACATGTTTAATGATATTTTAACTGGGGAAGGATATATATTGTAACAACCAAGTTATGTTACTACCACGTTACTACCAATCAATCTCACCGTTAGATCGATTATGTTGATCCAACGGTTATATTTATTTTCATCTTTGTATGGTTATGATTTTTCATATTTAAAATGAAAGCATTAAATATGAAAAATCGTAATCATACAAAGGTGAAAATAAATATAAAGTATTAAATTTGGGAAATCATGACCATACAAAGATGAAAATAAATATAACCGTTGGATCAACATAATCGATCTAACGGTGAGATTGATTGAGTAATATGGTAGTAATACAACTTGGTTGTCACAATATCCTTCTCCATTTTAATTTTAGTTTTTATGTTTTTATTATTCAGGTGTACCGAATGTCAAACCATAATAGGTGTTTTTCACCCATTATATTTATAAATAACAAGCAGGATGTCACGTTTTTTACATGTTAACTGCGGATCCACCTCTAATAATTAGTTATAAAAGTATATTCAATCAATGGGACTTGAATTTAGCCATAGTGCAACAGAAAAAGTCATTATTTTCATCATGTTGTGGATTATCACGATAAAGATGTGATTACCACGATTGATTGAAAATTATATTTCCTTTGATAATGAAGATCAATCAAACTGATCATATCCTAGGACTGGGTTCAATACACCACGTGCTTTATTTCATTATTAAAAAAGAAGAAGAAAAGGAGAGAAAAGCATTGACAAACCTCCATAATGTCCCCAACATTAACTACAAAGGCATCTGGAAGAAAGGTAACAGGAATCCAAACCCCATCTTTCTTTATCTCTAGGCCCTCCACTCCATTAACTTGGTGAAGGATGGTTATCCCTGTAGCATCAGAATGGGGTGTGATGCCTACAACAAGCTCTGGTTGTGGGCATGGTGGATAGCATGTCATCCTCACTGACTGCATACCATTATCAAATAACTTCTCCATTTCCTTTATGTCCATATTGATGGTTTTTCCTATTAATCCTAAAAGGATCATACCGAGTTTCCTTGTTTCTGAGATGTATGACTCCAAGGTATCCCTTCACATATGCATACAAATAATATTATACAAGATGGAATTAATTAAGGAATGGTAGAGAAGAAAAGAGAGAGAGAGAGAGAGAGAGAGAGAGAGAGAGAGAGAGAGAGAGAAAGGACCTCAGTGATGTAGGTAGCTCAGGAAAAAGGTATGGTTTTCTTCTTTCAACAGGGTTAATCACCATGTAGAATCTATCCCCCCAATCAAGCTTTTGATCTTTACATCTGATCACAGTTCCATAACCTTGAACATCTCCTGGTCTTATTTGGTATTTCATTTTCTCTTCATTAGGAAGCTTGAAAAATTTCTCTGTCTCAGATTTCAATTTCTCTAGCAGTTGAGAGCTAACACCATGGTTCACCACCTGCATAAAGAGTAAATCATTAAGTATATATATGTATACGTAAAACGGTTACAAATTATACAATATTTACAGTAATAACGACTTTATATTATTGCAAAATGGAATATCTGAAAGGATATATAGTGGGATATAAACCTGAAAGAAACCCCAATCTTTGCATGTTAAGTACAACTTCTCAAGTTCAGTGTCTCTGGTATTTCCACATACCAAGGTTTTCAAGTCAAAAATGGGAATTGTTGGCAAGGGAGTGGTTTCATCTAATGGACTTGGAGGTTCTAGTTCTGGACGAATATACATTTCTGGTATTCCATTTTCTGGTTTATTGGCTATGTCCATCATGCCAAGAACAGAATGAGTGCTCCCAAAGACACTAGCGTGTGATGATGCCATTGGTGAAGCTAAAAAAGAACCGTGCATGCTACCGAACGGTAGGGTTGGTATTTATATAGCATATGAAGATGCAGTATTCAGTTTGGACCCGTTCTTTACAAGCTAAAAAATTATTTAAATAGAGAAGTGTTGCTATTGACTATGACTAAACAATGCCATGCCATTATGGCTATTGATTTGCCGTAACAGGAGAAGTTCTTTCAAATGTACATGCATATATACAACCAATTCAATTCATCCAACCATGTGTTTGTGGTCGTAATTGAATTTTTTTTTTTGATTTAGGGAAAATATATATAGTTGAAAGATCAAACGCTTTTTAATCATGTGATTACAAACGATTATTTAAATGATAAGACATGCTTGATAACGATAAATTAAATTAAACTCATTCAATAGATTTAAACTCAAGTATTTGTATGGAATAATCATCATGCTTTGTCAAAAAGATTGTAGATATATACTTTTGAAAAACTCAATTTATTTGTTTATGTTCACTTGTCATATATGTTGAAAATTCTTTTATTGTTAAATTTTGGAAGAGGCTTAAAAAATACAAAACCCCTTCTAGAATTTCCATGACTAGATTAATAAATTGGATTGTAAATACCAAAAAATATTGGATTGTTAAATATGAGGACTTGAGAGGTATTTACTTTAATCCGTGTTGTTAGAGATATATAAAATCATTAACGTAGTCTCACATAACAACTTAAATTTTTAGGTTGAATTGATTATTTCCATGGCGAGCCTCATGCATCATCCACCTTTCAAGGCCAATGAGCTCTCTTGTGAGGAGGCGTGTTAGAGATATATAAAATCATTAATATAGTCTCACCTAATAGCTTAAGCTTTTGCGTTGAATTGATTCTTTACGTGTGTTAGTTACACAGTCGAGGCTCTATTATATAACTAACTAAATGAGAAAATCAAAGAGATCTATATGATGTGTGACTTTGTCTTTGATTATCTACATGATGTGTGACTTTATCCCTATACACTAAATCACCAGATATAATCATATTTACAATATTTCCGCTCAAGCCAGAGCATATAGATCGATCATATGCACCAAATTTATTACATGTGTACTCTATACGATGGAGGAAAATATTTTCAATACTCTCATAGTACTGATGTGTGGATACATTTTTTACTAAATTTGGTAAAAAGTAATAGAATTAACTTTTCTCATTTTACCCACTCTTTTATGCTATTGACACCCACATCCCACCTTTTTCAATTTTGTTTTTGTTTCCAAAATAAAAAATTGGAAAAAGATGGGACGAGAGTGTCAATAGCATAAAAGGGTGGGTAAAATGAGTAAGTAATGAATATATTAAATAATTGATTATTTGAGTTAACAAAAACTAGTTACTTAAGTTGGTTCAAATTCTGCTTGCCTTAACACTGAAGCAAAAGTTCAAAATTTTCTCTTGAATAATGTTTACATCATTTAATAAGTTTTTGTTGAATATTTATATCATAAAATTATCTATCGTTACATTAAATTTTTTTATCATATAAACTAAATTTATATTATTTTAAAATTATTTGATACTTCATATATATATATGTGTGAACTGAAATGGTCAAAATTATTGTGCCAAAAGTTATTGAAATATATTTAATATTGCGAATTGTAGAATTCATAAGCCTTTGTTGCACCCTAGGAGTGTTAATGGGCCCTTTTGGATGGCTTCTAAAAAAGTGTTTTTTTTATAAAAATTAAAGTTATTTAGATTTTTAAAAAACAGATATCCAAACATTTTTTATGACAAGTGCTTTTTTTCTAAAAAAAAGCTTTTAAAGAAAAAAGCCTATCCAAACGAGCACTAATCTTTTGCAAACTTAGTGTATGTGCAAAATAACTCTCCAAAAGAAAAAAAAAACAATTAAAGGTGCCTTTTAATTGTCAATTTTTTTTATCCCATCAATACTTTCCCCCAACATTGCGTACTCTGACCTTTAGGTGGTGTTTGGTTAGGAGCTTTCAGCGGATATCTATGTTTATCAAGTATGACTTTTAAAAACATCATATTTGTTTTAACGTATTTTCACCAAAAACTCATCTATCCAATTTGTATGGATTTATGAGAAACATAGATATCCGCACTGTTTAGAAACCCAATTTGAAGGGGGGATTTTTCGAAAAACCGGTTATCTGGCTTTTAATGCACTGTTGATTTCATAAAGTTACCTAATTTTCCCAGTAAAGTTTTTCCCCACCAAACAACTTTTTTTTACATTTTTCTACCTATCTCACTTTATCTATCTTTCCAATCATTTCTCTATCTATTACATTTCCCTACTATTCCAAAAAAAAATTCTCAACCAAACACCCCCTTAGGCTAATTTACTTCTGATTAACTTATCTTATGTTTCAGTTAAATTACTTAAGTTTGTATTTCTTTTTTTGGATTGCTTCAAGGATATTCCTCAGCCCACAGTTGAAGACTAATCCCCTCAAGATATAGAAATAATCGAAGTGAGTATAACCTCTACCAAAAACTCAAATGTACTAAATTTTGTTTGTCTGGATTTGTATTTCTACAATGTGATCGAGAGTACATGTGAAGTGTGATCGAGAGTACATGTGAAGTGTTCAGGTTTTTACTTTAATCCTTGATTTTGTAATTTGGATTAATACATCTATGTTAACAACTATTTTAGAAAAGTACTTTTTTAAATGTACTATCTGAAAAGTTTTAATTAAAAACTTTTGTAAATACAAAATAAACTAATTCAAATTAAAGATCCACCCAACCTTTCCATATCGATTTTCCTATGCATCAACCAAGATGAAGTTGACATCGGAAGACAGCGGGCCAACGGTCCCTCCTTTTCTAATGAATGATTTTGATTGATGGTGGATCTCAGGATCATGGGTAACAGTTCACAGCTAGTGTCAAGTGGAAAGGCGAGTCAAAGACTCATACTAAACTTTTTTTATAAATGTGTTAAATGTATCTGCCCGTAGCTACATTTCAATTTTATTTTGACTCATTAAAAAAGACAAAGGATTTACCCTACAAGTTAAAAGGCTAAAGGTGATGAGTCCGACTTGAACAATTTTCATTTGTATCTATACACCAAATCACTTATAATGATCTTATTGTTGTCCCGAGCTCTTACTCTTAAAAACAGGGTCACTGAGAGAAATGCCTTAATATATAGCCTTAATTAATTAATTAATCTAGACATGAGCAAAGCTTTGTGAATGGATTCAGTAGAATTCTCTTGGTTTCATTATTAAGGCACATCTCGTTTTCAGTTTTGATCAATGGTATTGTTCTGGACCGGCCAGGCTTAGTATAATGGATCAGTCCCTAAGGTTCATTTAAAGGGTCACACTCTCCTTTATCTTTAAAATGAGATTTTAGATTCTCATTATAAAGAATCTCACTTTCTTGCATGTGAGTGTGAGAAATTTGATTCATGGAGTTTCAATCTTTCGGTCATGCAAAAAAATATAATTATGTATTATCGTAGTTATAATATTAATTTTTTTTTCTTCTCATAAGGTTGTTGATTGACGCGACAGAGAGAGAGAAAATAATTTTAATATTATAATTAGAGAAAAAGAAATATTATTTCAAAGGACACAAGCATGTATTTTTTTAGGTGATTTATACAAAATATGACCGGTCATACTTTGTGTAAATTTGAAAAGTTGCTTTTTTCTCTCTCCCCAGTCACATCGCTGACATGTAAAGTGAAAAAAAAAATAACTTTTTAAATTTACACAAAGTATAACCTGTCAGATTTTGTATAAGTTACTAAAAGGACACAACTTACATCCTTTAAAAGAATACATACTACACCCTTATAATTATGTACTATAGATAATACATAATTATAATATGTAACATGATCAAATTTTCCTTCCTACAATGATACTTATATTTCCCTTGATTTATACTGTTAACTCTTTAAGCACTGTAATATAGAATACTTTATCAGAAAAATATTTCTGCAGTTACTGCAGATAAGTTACCTGCATTTACTCTCAAAACGACGTCGTTTTGGGATTGAAATATTAAAAAATTATAATTATAAAGATCAGAATAACCTTGAAATAAATTAAAATTACAAAAAACACCATGATTTTCATCTCAAAACGACGTCGTATGAGGTTTACTGCAGATAACTTATCTGCAGTAACTGCAGAAAAAGCAAACCCATACTTTATTCCTTTAAATGAAACAAACCTAATCTTACCACCGAAATAGTTAAGTTGCCTAATTGAGATTTTTTAACTTAATAAAGTATCGTCTATTTCGACGCGTGTATGCAGAAATTTACCCACAGTACAGACAATAAAGAGGGAAAATTTAAGGCCTGTTTGATAGTGTTCTGATTTTTTTGTTCTTAAAACTGTTTTATAAAATAGTTATGGAAACAGTTGTTTTCTATATTTATTTAATTTTGAAAGTTAAAAATCAAAACAGAAAACAAAAACAACTCAGACATGTTCTCTAAATTTGATTTTAAAAACAAAAAAACAGTAATAGTTTTCAAAACATTTTTTACAAAACAGACTTTACCAAACGAATTTTTTTGTTCTGAAAACTAAAAAATTGTTTTTAAAAACAACAATCAAATAGAGCATTGTTCCCTAGTCCCTTCTTTCTGTTTTTTCTTCCTCTCTTTCTCCTTTCTCCCCCCTCTCTTTCAGCTATGATGCACGGACACGGACACGAGATACGATACGCCAACACGTTAATTCTAAAAAATATCATATTTTGATACGTTGGGACACATTTTGATATTAAATAAAAATTTTAATATATATAATATAATTTATATTTAATACATATAAGAGTCTATAATAAGTCATATAATCAATCAAATATTTAAATTTCATAACATAAATATAAATATAAATAATTTTTCGTACTTTGTTAATTTTTCATGTCAAATTTTATAACAGAAAGAAATTAATTTATAAATTATTTCTTTTATATTTAGTTAACAAAATAAAATTAAGATTTAAAAAA